TTGTCGTTTCTCATTCAGCTGTAAATTTCTTGGTTCCTGGTGCAATAGGTAATTTTCTGTCGTATTCTGGATATTTGGGCTATTATGTTAGGAGACCCTGGGTCCAGATTAAGTCTCATGTGTCAGCGGGCACGGCCCTGTGTAGGGGCAGCACCAGATCCCAGCCGCTATGGGCCGCGTTCCCATCAACCGTTCAGGCTTTTGGTCAGCCTGGCTCACCGGCTCCTCTGAGGCTCTCACTGGCCCCCTGGGGCTGCCTGAGGGGAGGAGGGGCTCTCAGTGAGGGAGGGGTGGCAGGCCTGCGGCTCAGACAGCCTTCCCTGGCCTGGCATTTGCTGTGGGGGACCCCCTTCCTGTGGGAGACACAGGGTGCTTCCTGGATGGGGCAGGACCCCTGCCAGTGTCCCCGCCACTCCAGTGTCTCTGGGCTGGGGAAGGCAATCTCAGGTCCATGGGGACAAGAGGCTTTGGGAGCCAGGTCAGTTGTGGCAGAATCCCTTTTACTGAACCACCACAGGTGACAGGCTTTGGGGGAGCCCATCCCACCCCTGCTGTTGCTCCAGCCCAGGCTTGGGCTGTGGTCTGATTCCTCAGGAACTTTAAGGCCATTTGTTCTTGGACCATTTTTCCTGTTACAATTCACCAGCCCTGCGGCTCAGTTGTGTCCAGACACAGCCCATTCCCAGGTCGTAAAATGTCCCTTCCCAGTACCCCAGGTCCGCCTGGAAACTCCAATTCAGCCTTGACCCAGGCTCCATCGCCCTTGCTTTGTGAAATGTGACCCCTGGGCCATGGGGGCAATTTATCCGACGACCTATGAGACCACAAACAAACCTCTAGGAGACAAAACACCACGACAACAAAGGGTCAGAACTGATGTCCCCCGGTGGGCAGGACAGGGGCCTGTCACTGATGGATTCGGAGCCTGAGTGGGTGGGGTGGAAGGGCCACCACTGATAGGTCCAGGACCCGAGTGGGCAGGGCGGAAGGGTGTTCACGTATAGGTCCAGGACCCAAGCAGGCGGGGCAGACGGGCCGTCACTGATAGGTCCAGGACCCCGAGTGGGCGGGGCAGGGGGGGTGGTCACTGATAGGTGGCTGAGTGATGAACAGGGAGTGTGACGTTCCCCATATGGCAGGGGCCCGTCCAGCAAGGCTGGGAGTGCTGCTGGGTCTCAGACAGTCCTCTGTGCAGCCTGGAGCCGTGGTGACAAATCCAGACTGTGTCCTTGAAAGCGCACCTGTAAGAGCAGTAGAACCAGAGCTCCTCTCACTTTGCTCTCTGCTGTGACACTGATCAAGGGTCCAGGGCCCAGTGGGAACCTTCTGTTGGACAAGACTCAACCCATCTCCGCCCGGTCTCCCTTCCACTATTGGCATCAACCCCGGGGCCACTGCAGCTCCCCCTTCACAGTAGAGTCTCCTGGGCACCTCAGTAGAGCAGAAAGCGAAGCCCGCACAGGCTCACCCTGCCACGAGGAAACTGAGTTTGGGTGAGGGAGCCAGCTCCTATCTGTCCATGACCAAAATGGGCCCAGGTTCTGTTTCTTTCCTGAGCTGGAACAGAAGCAACCATGGGGGTTAAGCCACGTGGATGGGTCAAGCCTCAGCCCTGAGCCACATCTGTGCCAGAGCCTGCAGGGGGAGAGGAAGGCAAGGCCAGGTGTAACCCAGTGTGTGTGTGAAGCTCTGGGGCCTGGCTATGATGCAGACTTGGGCCAAGGCATGTCCAGTGGCCACCTGGCATCGTGCTATGATAGTTGCTCCAGGCCCTAGGATGCAGAGGCAACGAGGGCAGCAGAGTCCTGCATCCATCACCAAACAAGGGAGGGAGGTCAACCTTGGGAGGGGTCCCAGACTTGAGAGGGCAGAAAGCCAGCACAGTGGGGCTTCACCTGGTTGGGGGACGAACCCCGCTAGCCCAGGAGAGCGGCAGGGCGGCGCTGGGACTGTCACCAGTATCTGTCGAAAAAACTGGTGAACCCACCACACATTTTATATTCAGGTTCAGCACCCAACTCGGTAGACACCTGGGAAGTCCCATCAGAGGCTGATCTACACTGGAAGCTTCCTCCTACAGCTACTGGAACAGGGGCTTTATATCAACATCAAAAATGTAGCAGCTCCTATGATCAATACCACACATTATTATTAAATTCTTAGAATCTCTGAATACAATTTTCAAAAGTCTCTGGGCAGAAATCAAACTATAATCCACTGATCCATAAACAATCCCCTTCAAACTCCCAAATACACACACACACAGGCACACACAGACACGCACACACACGCCCACACCCGCACATGCCTTCTGGGGTCTTCCCATTCAAAACGACAAACAAATGCCTGCCTCACTGAGGCTTACCAAGTTTATACTTTTATTATACTCTGAATAGAGATGGTATTTAAAGAGCAAAGAAAATGACTATACAAAGGATTTATAGAACATTCATTTACATACGGGGTATATTCTTTACAATATAAGAAAAGTAAAAATATCCACTACCAGGTAAGGCAGATAAGGAGACATGATGAGGTCTTCGATGCCGAGGATACACACGGAGACCCTTAAATGCGGTGTGACTTAACACAGTTATAGGTTAACACTGGAGGAATACAGCATAGGTTAATGAGCAGGTAAACAGGCCCTGGCTATGACACCTGTGGGGTGCAGTCCTCGTGCATGCCCCAGGACAGTACCCCTGTGCCCACGGGCACCCCAGAAGCCAGATGCCTGGGGATGTTCCTTCCCCCGCCTGCCCCAGAGTCAGTGTTGGCGGTGGGGCTGCCTGAGGTCTGAGCATGAAGTTCATGGACTCGTTCCATTTCATGCATATGTAACACACTGTCGTACCAGCTCCTCAGAAGACAGGGAATTGGCTTCCTTTCATTCCACCTCAGAGGGAGCCATTTGCTGGGAGGACGAAGCCCTTGACTACTGAGAGTAAAAGTCTCAGCTGCCAGTCAGTTTAGAAAGCAAATGTCATGGCTTGTATGCTCTGGACGAGGACGGCCTCTGTGATTGGGGTGGTTGGTGTGTCTCAGTCCTGCACCCCTCTCTTGCTCTGGTTTCAACATGACCCCTCTATTCCTTCGTCAGAAGGATAAGGGACCTAGCCTGCGGTCTCTGGGTCAAATCTGGGGACAAGCATCTCAGGAGGAGGCCCCTCTAGAGGACAGCACAAACCTCCGCTCCAATTGGCTGAGTTCTAGCTGTGAATGAAAAACGGAAATGCTAGACACCCCCAAGCCCGGGTACCAAGGCATCAGGCCTCTGGAAGATGCCGGCACGTTCTCCTTAGCCAGGCCGCCCTGCGTCAGGGAAGAGGGTCCGCGAGGACCAAGGGAAACATTTGGCACAGAAATGAGGCACTTGTGTTGGTGCATCAATAGGAGCTAAACAGTGGACTCGCCCACCTGCTTTCACGCACACACTCACACTCATACACGCGTACAATGCCCGCTGCGATTCGGCCAATCCCACCTCTGCTGTCGCCGAGTCTGTCCCTGCCCCACTTGAAAACAGAATCCACAAAGCACATTTCCAAACGCCAGTGTGGTGACTGCCACAGTGATTCCTGGTGTTTGAAAAGCTGGTGCTTGATTTGCGAAGTGGAGGAGACGGGCAGTTCACGGGGGATGGAGAGCCACGGTGCAAGTGTCTTGGGTGACGGGGAAGGAGACCGGGGCCTCTTGATCTGGGATCTTGCAGGACCATTGGCTTCTTCTCCCAAACCTCTGACCACTGCCGGATTCAGGTGGACAGACCACGGCTCTGCAATATGCACATCAGCGTAAAGAGCACAGCTGATTAGGTGGCTAAGATGATGCAGAGGAGCTGAAAACAGCGTGGAAGGACTGAGACTCGTCCTCATCTTCACCCTGCTCAGGTGCCAGAACACACGGATCCCAACGGGAGCCAACAGGCGGGGTGGAGACAGACAAATGTTCCCTCAGGTCAGTGGTTCTCGGGATGATCTCTCCCAGGCCCCCGGATGGCCGAGAACAGCGACACGGAGGACGGCTGAGTCTCCAAGTAAGCGTGTCCCACCCCTCAGGACCTTCCCCCGCCCCAGCGAGGATGTATCCACAGCCTGGAAAAGACACATGGATGGTCAAGCGTTCGGGAAGGCCGCTTGAGGCAAAGCCAGCTTTCGGCAGCCGCCCGCAGGCAACGACGGCCCATGGAGCGGTCAACGGAGTCCGCACCACCCGTCTTGGTGCATCCGACACGGGGACAGAGGCTCCTCCCAGAGCCCCGGCTCGGCAGGCGGCAGCATTTGGACACCAGTACAGCACAGCAATGGCAAACTGTTCTCATAAATAACTTGGCATTAAGTAAAACATAAATTACATGGAAATGGGGTTTTACTCCTATCTTCTCACTTTCCCCTCTCACGGCCCAGGGTGCCATTCAGCCGAGGCATGTGAGCAGAGGCGGGGAGCCGTCCCCACGCTCAAGCTCTGGCCTCACAATGACCGTACGACCTCCCTCGTCCTCACCGCCCATCACGTCGTCCCCTTGTCCACGATGCCCCAGTGCCCCGGGAGAGCCTGACCCGCATAAACCTTCATCCAACATGCATCCCCTTCTCAGGTTAATCAGCAACTCTGTCATGGGAGGACAGAGGCCCTGAGGTGCCCGCTGGACGGGAGCCCACTGACATGGCAGTGGCAAAGCACAGCCGGTCACTCAGGGCCACCGAGGAGCGGGCGGGCTCCCCTCCTTCCCACACACACCAGAGTTCGAGAAACACGGGTACCCACGTCTCCTTGCATGGTCCTCTCCTACATGGGGCCCGGGCGGGCACACCCGATGCCCAACTTCCTCCACCTGGAAAGCACTGGGCTACAGAAATGCGTCCATGAGCAGTGGCTCTCAGCTAAGGCCAGCTGGTGGCAGGGTTGTTTGTTTGTAAGCCTGGAGGAACCCCTTTCCCTCCTGGGCCTGGAACGTTAGGGTCACACAGGCCCTTCTGGAGTCTCCAGGCTGTGGAGGCTCAAATCTTCTTAGGGGAGCCGATCATGACCTTGGACACGAAGTTGACGATGGCACTGGCCGGCTGCTCGGGGTCATGCTCTGCAAACAGGTGGCACACGTTGTCTGTGGCGCTGCCCTGCTTCCGGGCCACAAATCCAAAGACTCTGCAAAAGGAAAGCCGGGTCAGCGTGCCAGCCAAGTCCTGTCCACCCCACAGGATACAAACCTCTGCTTCCTGTCGCACCACCGCCACCTCTAACCTCTGCTTCTCCAAAATCTCAGGGGCCGAGTCCCCTGCCGGACACCTCCAGACGCAGGTCTGCGTCCTCTCCGCCTCGCAGACCCTGCACGGAGGATGCTGTGCCCAGACCTCACAAGGGAGGAACCTGATGGGCAGGACTGAGGAGTGCCAGTCACATGTCTGGGACCTGAACCAAAGCCGCTGCTCCAACCTGGCCAGAACCCTCCTATTCTGCCAGCTCCTGAGCTCCACTCTCGAGTCTCTGATCGGGAGGACCCTGGCTCTACCTCAGGAGCCACCTACTCCCTGTTCACACCATCAGAGCAGACGGGCACACAAAACTCCAGGTGCCAGCAGCCCAGCCTCAGTTCCTGGGGTGCTGGGGGCTCTCCCTGGATGCCCACGATCCCACCCACTGGGGCCAGAGGATGGGAGGTTAAAAACACGCCAGGGGCTCCCTTCTCCGGCCTCATACCCCTGAGTTACAAACTGCGTGCAGGTGAGGAAACTCTTTAAAAGCACAGAACAGGGCTTCCCTGGTGGCGCGGTGGTTGAGAGTCCGCCTGCCGATGCAGGGGAGGCGGGGTCGGGCCCCCGCATACCCCTGAGTTACAAACTGCGTGCAGGTGAGGAAACTCTTTAAAAGCACAGAACAGGGCTTCCCTGGTGGCGCGGTGGTTGAGAGTCCGCCTGCCGATGCAGGGGAGGCGGGTTCGTGCCCCGGTCCGGGAAGATCCCACGTGCCGCCGAGCGGCTGGGCCCGTGAGCCATGGCCGCTGAGCCTGCGCGTCCGGAGCCTGTGCTCCGCAGCGGGAGAGGCCACGACAGTGACAGGCCCGCGTACCGCAAAACAAACAAACAAAGGCACGGAACAATCTAATATTTTTCTTAGAAGAATTGAAGGCTTTATCTGAATAAGCTTTCAGGAGCCGCAAACTTAACACAATAACTACCATTTTCCAAATCCAAATCCCTGGACTTGGATAATGGTAGTTTTCCCTTATCTGAGGTCTTTCTTCTCCTTCTCAGAACAATGAAGAATTTTTCTGTATGAGCTGAGTGGCTTCCACAGCACGGGAGGGACTGGCTGACGGCACTCAAGTGACCCCCCCCTGGGGCCACACACTCCACAGGGCTGGGATCGCCGTGGGCCCTGTGAGCCAGAGCGGCCGGGGGGCTCCGACTACTTTATCACATGCCAAGACAAACGGCAAACGTGAAATTGGAATCCTGGGATTGGACCCCTGCAGTTAGACATTTGTGGTAATCAAATTTAGGTGACGCGGAGGACGCCCACCTGTGGGAATGCAGACTGCTCTGGAGGGTTCCGAGGCTGCGTGGCCACCGCAGAGCCTGGGCCAGGGCAGAGCCATGCTCCCTCTGGGCTGGGATACAGTGACGCCCGCTGCACTCACACAGTGCCCCCTTCCAACACCCCAGCCTCAGCGCTGCTGCAGGCTATACCCCTCCTCAATGGCCAGAAACGCTGTGCAATCTCTTCACGCTATTTATACCATATTTTATGGGTCATAGGTAAGTATTGCTCATTCAGAGAAGAGCAAGCAGAAAAGTTAACCCTTCGCAGGCCCTTTCTGCATAAAGAGAACACTTTCATTTTTGTTTAATGCCAAACGCACTAACACAACATTGTAAATCTATACTCCAATAAAATTTTTTTTAAAAAGGCCAAACCCAAACCCATCGGCATCATTTAGTCATTTTCCTCTTTGGAAATCTGGGGCAGAATTCAGCTTTGGAGGCAAGCGTCTACTAAGAAAGAATGAAGACAGGCTGGCAACATACCTTGAGCAAGGGCCGTCTGTGATCCACCTTGCAAATTACAGAATAAGAGAAGAGTCACGTTAATTTCTTTATTAACTTAAAAAGCAAAGGAAGCACATTAGTACAGATACAGATGGCTTACTTCCTGTCTTGTGGATCCAGCGCACAGAAGATCACGCCGCTCACGGGGTAGTGCCTCCGAAAGAAGAGCCTGCCGGGACACGGGAGAGGGAGAGCCCATTACTGGGGCTTTGCAGTGACAATGCTGCCCTGGGCAGACCCCCAGGAGGAGGTTCGGCGGGGCAGAAGCCTATTTTATGCTTTTACTGGTGGTCTGGAGAGAAGAGCAGAGTGTACGTTTGTTAGAAATCAGCAGACCTACGAAGCTGGGCAGAGTGGTTCCGGGGAAAGTGGGCACTAGGAAAGGAGTGCGTCTCGGGGTAAAGGGAAGCACCTTGCAGAGTGAAATGGAGAAACTGCCAGCCGAGTGGAGGACGGGACCAAGCTGAGTGAGGCCCAACCTTCCCCTCGTCCCAGGAAAACACCAACTGTCTACAGCCCTCGCAGCTGCCTGTGAAGAGGGGGTCTGGTACAGACCACCACTCTCCCAGGACAGGAGCCAAGTCAGCCCCAACGAGGCATCTGACGGCATGTTGTAAACTGTCAAGGGCCGTGCACGTGAAACGCACTGGGAGGTGCTACGACCGCCGGGCCAGCACAGCCGCTGGGGGACCCACCAGAGGACTCCTCTGTCCTCGGTCCTGGCTCCTGTCACTTGTCCTTTGTTTCACTGCCAGGCCTCCCCGCTCCTCTGAGCATGGCCTGCCCTGTGTGCCCCACTCCAGCTGGGCAAGCGCCCTCTCCTCTTGGGGTAGGTGGTATCCCCAGAGGCTGGTGGCTTTGATCTGGGCAAGGAGAAAGCTCATCAGGAGAAGGAAAGAAAGAGGCCAGCGTACAGGAAAGACACAGGCAGAGCCGGGCATCTTTCAGCGGGAACACGGAGGACACAGCCTCTTTTGTGCAGCATCAGCCAGGCTGAATGCACGTTCCGTCTCCTGCAACCGGGAAGATCCTGGGTGCCACGGACGCGGCCCACCCCCATGGTTTTATAAGGACACAGCGAAACTAGAGATACAGAAAAAGCACACAGGTAGCAGGAGAAAATAGAGAGGCTGTGAAGGAAGAAGCCGTGCTTTCCTGCCCGACCCCGTGTCCACGCTTCAGCCGAGCTGTACCGGCACCTGCCCGTGGATATCTCATTCGAGTCACTGACATTCCAAGACGGTTACCTCAGTGCAGCTTGAGAGGCGAGGAAACTGAGTGCATGGCATGAGGAACGTGCCACGTTGGCCCGTCGGGTAAAGCGCGGGGAGCAAGGACCCCAATCGGAGTGGCAGGACCCACGCTGCACCTGACACTCCACACCCGCTTTATCCTGAGAGCAGTGGGTGGGAGCTCTGGGTCAGGGACCCTCCCAAGCCCCCGACTAGCTCTGGAGCAGGGGTCGTGGCAGGAAGAGCTCCAGGGCGCCGGGGTGAGCGCTGCCCCACCGGCTGGTGCGGGGACTGGCCACCTGCCCCTTGAAGCTCCAGCCATCACCTTGCTTTGAGGGTCGCTGACCTGGCTTCCTCATCAATCACAGCAGGCACTTTCCATAACAAATAAACAATAACTGCCTCTGAAATGCCTTGGATCCTGAGGTCAAAGGTTCTGCTCGTGGGAGGAACACGCTTGCCGTTGTTCTGTCCACGCACCTGACCCTGCTCTGTGCTCACCTGGAAACTGAAACAGCATCTACTTCTAGATGTTCAAATGTTATTAACTAAGATATAACAATATACAATATCTAGATGTTAGTTAATAATTAACATTAATTATTCTTATATACTATATTATTATTACATAATAATTAACATTATCTAGATACTGAAATAATATGTATCAAGGTCACACTCTCACCTGAAATGGGATGACCAATGATACAGAAGCAAAGATGAGTGGATTCTACCATAGTCTCTGAGTGATTTTACGGAAATGACAAAAGATTTTTGCATTTGCAAATTACACACACACACACACACACACACACACACACACACACGTGTGTGTGTGTGTGTTTGTGTAAGAGATACACAAAGATCCATGTATCTTTTTAAAAATGTTACTGACTTCTAAAAAAACAGCATTTGGGCTTAATGTCAATAGTTTATATGTGTCTCTGGGGACATACAGGACAGCAGGGCCAAGCACAGAGTGACTGGATCATTGATTCGTTCCAGGACCGCTGAGTTTTGCCGGGGTGACCACCGCACGTCCAGGGGCCTGGGCACAGCTGGTGGCAGGTCTTGCCCCAGGTGGGGTCAGAAGCCCCGCCCGCCCCGCAGCCCGGCTGCCAGGCACACTCACTTCCTCTGGTTGTCCGTCAGGGTGATGCCCTGGGCTGACACCTTGAAATGCACGACCGTGGACAAAGGAGGCGGCTCTTGGACCAGGGTGATGCTCAGGGCCTTCTGGATGGCCTGGTGGCCCGTGAGGGACTCCATCTCCACGGAGTTCAGATACCACACGTTGCAAGCTGGAAGACGCAGGGGGAGGCGGCGTTAACGCGTCTGCCAGACACGAGGGCCCCGGGGTTTATGAACAACAATGCACATATGTGTGGCCAGGTATGTCTGAGGCAAACGCCCTTTACCCCTAATGCCAAAGGTGTGGAGTGACCCAGAGATGCACACGCCCCGAGGCCAATGCAGAGAATAACACCCCGTCCCGCCCACCCCCAACACACAACCCCCCCCCCCCACCACCCCGCTCTGGAGCCAAGGAAACTCCTCCCACTGGCCCAGGATGCGTCTCCACCCCTGCGGCATTATTTACACCTGGTGTCCCAAGGGTGGGCTGGAGGCACCCTCCTTAGCCTCAGTGTGGGTCTGGGTGGGATAAGAACCCAACCACACCTGCAGTTAAGGAAACGGCCCCAGAGGGGAGCCCGCAGCCCGGAACCCCAAATATCCACCCTGCACGGAGTTCTGAAAGCAGCAGGCATCCAGAAAGAGCTGCTGTGAACGAATGACTTGCAGTGACTCAGAACACAGTCTGCGCGCAAAGAGCTGGGATGGCTTGTCCTGTCCACATGCTGCCAAGGGGGCCGCGGGTTTGTCCACCGCCATCTCCCCTTGGGGGAAGCAAACAGCTGAGTGTGAACGAGACTTTGTAAACAGACTGATGGTCTTTTGAGCCTGGATCCCTGTAGCTCATGCAGAAGCTAACGTGGGACTTCGAGGCGTGTGACATCTGTGTGACTGTGGGACATTCAGACTCTCCCTCAAGTTCAGTCCTGAAGGAGCTGTGGCTTTGCCTGGCCACCCACCAAGGACGTGTACCCCCAGGAACAGAGCCACTCTTGTTACCCGCTCTGCCAGATGCAGCCTCTGCAAGTGAGTGGGCTGTCTTAACTCCATCTCTAAAGGTCTTTAGATTTTCACTAAACAGAAAAGAAAAAGCTTCCCCCCTTGACTGGAGCAATAAGGTGAGCGCTGTGCCCTCGCCTGCACCATTTCCTTGGGAGAGCCTCCCGGAGGCGCAGCCTCGGACAGGCTCCATCTCCACCGTGAATTCTGAGGCTCAGCAGCAGTCACACCTGTTGGCAGGTGTGCTGCCACAGGCCCACGAAGGTGGGTTAAGAAGAACGGAAATAACGTACAATGTCCCTGGTGTCAAGATGCAGGGCCGCTTATGAGCTGCTAGCCCTCTGTTCTCTCCATGGCCAAGGCGACAATCCACAGCTACTTTTTAAGAAGCTGAGAAGGTCTGAGGATTTGGAAACTTCCACTTCAGTGAGGACACGATGATGGAGAAAGAAAGCAAGGCCTGGGGATCGTGTAACAAATTCATCAGAAAAATGAGGCCCCTCCCTTTACCCTGGATGGGGGCATCAGAAGCGGGCAGGCCAGAGCCCTGCTGACCTGAGCCGGGAGCAGCTACAATCCTCTGATTTGCCGGAAGAGGCCTGAGTGGAAAGGCTGAGTCTTGAGGGAAGGTGGGAGATACCAGAGAACCACCCAAGAAGCAAGCAGCCCCAAAGCCGGGCGACGGTATCTCCTGGAGTGTCACTTCACGGCTCCCAACGCGCCCAGGAGAAATATTGAAACGTGCTGGAAACGCCAGACTTCCCCAAACGCATGTTAACTGAGAGTTTTATCCCAGACACCAACTTCGCTCTATAAAGTTTACTGAACAAGTCACTTTTACTCTCTGAAAGGGCTTCGTATTTCACTCCTATAACTATTAGAATGACATTGCGCCATTAAGCAAAATCTTCAAAGAAGTTCCCAAACACAACAGTTTTCATTTCTCCGAGCTCCACCTAACGTGGCTCATTCATTAGGACACTTACTCTGTGTCAGGCCTCGACTGAACATCTGAGACAGACTATCTCATCACATCTGCACCAGGGTCCTATGAGGAAGATTCTGTTATCATCCCCAATTTACAGATGAGGACACTGAAGTGTAGAGAAATATGCCAGAAGCCTGGCAACTCCCCGGGGGCTTGCTGTGATACCCAACCTTCATGCTGGCTCCTGCGGTGCTGAGGGACCTGGTACCACCAGGTACCAGGCGCCAGGTAGAGAACACGGGCTCAGGAAGAAATTTCGCGTAACATTCCTGAGGATGAGCTGTGAGTTCTTTTTCTTTTTTTTTTTGAGCTGTGAATTTTACTTCGAGACATTCCTCAGCCATAATGATGCCCGTCAGCAACCCCATGTGATTATCCTGACAGAGTGGCATCTTTTAAGCCACTGTCCCTCCTGCACATCTTGAGAGGCAGGGAGAAATCAGAGAGCCCTCCCTGAACGGCTGAGTTGCTGTGGCCACTGCTGCCCTCTCCGCGTCCTCTTGTCCCAGCCGGCAGCACTGCCCCATCTGAGGACGCCGGGCAATGAGACACTCCAGGGAACTGCAGGGCCGGAGGCTGACCTGCACTTCAGCTCCTGTCTGAACTTGAGGGGTCTACTTGTGTCGTCTTGGGAAAGAGAGTGAGTTGGCAAAAGTCTTTAAAATTGCAGTTGCCCAAAGCTTTGACGAAATCAGGTGCTTTTATGAAATGCTCACGTCAACCAGGACAGCCTTTCTGGAAGATGATTCGGCATTATTTATCAGGAGGATCTGAAGACCTGCCTGCGCTCGGTAACCTGCAGGTCCTGCTCCGAGAGGCCCGAGACAGGAAATATTCCATAACCAGCTGAGACAGCTAACCTAGAGGTGAAGATATTTGAGCCCCATACTCATTTGGTGGGAAGTTAGTTGGAAACAAGCTATGTCCAAAAGGACATGGTTAAATGGTTAAATTAGCCCCTCACTGGAATACCAGCTAACCAGCAAACAGTAATCACGAACCCTGTATAGCAACATGGAAAAATGTTAGCGGTTTCTGGGAAAAGCAGAATAAAACTATCGGTGCCATGATGAGACCTATACAATAAAAGGCGTGTGTGCCTATGAACAGTTGGAGGTGTGCCTGGAAAATTTAAGACGGTTTGAGTTTAGGAGGGTGAATATTCTGCCTTTGATTTCATTAGTATTACTATAATGATACTCATGCAGTTACAAAAGAGAAAAAAGAAAATTCTGATCTAGTCACAATGAAATCCCAGAAAATTGGCACGAGCTGAACCTGGAGCGGGCGCACGTCTGCCACGACCCAGACTCCTGCTTCCTTGTAGCAGCACAAATGGCCTTTCGAGAAGGAACAGCCGGCCTGGGGGGCGTCTCCCCCCGACGCAGAGTGGCACTGTCCCTCCTCGCAGCAGAGAGGGGAGCCCTCCCTTCTCCCAAGCACGTCTGGGACAGCTCTGCTGAGCACACGCCAGCCCCTTCCCTCCCCAGCAGAGGACAGGTGGGCCTGCTGTGCTTGTCCCCCGGGGCCTGGCCCAATACGTCCAATTCCACCTGAGGGTGCGTAGCTGTGGTGCGATGCTGTATGGGAAAGCGCCCGTCAAACCCGCGGCGGGAAGCAGAAGTGTTAAGGTCACAGGTTCTCACCCAGTCCTACCGCTGCCAGAAATTCAGGGTCTGAAGGCCACAGTCCAGAACTCAGAAAAAGGAAGTAATGCAGAAAGGTAGCCTCCCAAGTGCTGTCTGTGGTACTGAGAAGTTAGAAGCACGCTAACTGGGCAACCGTAAGGGGTGGAATCAGCCGGTGGACGGTTCCTCAGCCACTGAAAGTGAGACCTAGGCTGTGTTTGCCAAAAACATGGGTAAACCCCTTATGCTAAGGGGGAAAAGGAAAACAGTCAGTGGTTGTACCTGGGTGACAGGTCTGTGGGGAATGCATTTCTCCCTTGCTTTTCTGTGTCTTCCTTTTTTTTTTTTTTTTTTTTTTAAACTGGAAGAATTCCTATTACTTTTATAAAGGAAACATCCTTTACAGTACGGTCCGTTAAAGACACAGCCCTAACGTTTATGGGCTATCGTGTGGGGTCTGGTGCCAGGGCCTTCTGCTACGTTCCACTGTTTCAACAGAACCAGTTAAGAGCTGACACTAAAAACATAAACAGCAATTCTTTTAGAAACTGCAGCAACTCACAACGGCCTCGGTATCAGATGCAAAGGGATTAAACTGAAGAGAACTGAAAGTCTGTGCCGCTCGCTGCCCAACGCTGCAGACACCCCTGAGTGTCAGCGCCTCACCTCCACGCAGAGGACACGGGCCAGGGAATCTCGAGGAGCCCTTGCAGGGCCAGGGGTCTGGGATTCTAAGTGAATTCAGACAACAAATGAAACTTAGTTTAAGGGGAGAAAGAACCACTCAGTTTCCTAAAGGTGGTCAGAGACCGGACAGCCTGATCACCTTCCCACCACCGTCACTCTGCACTTTTCGAACCAACAGCTAGGACCCAGCACTCTCTGCAGCATCCTCACTTTTCCAGCTGCATATCCGTGTCCTGACTCGATTCCTTGCCTTGTCAGCCATGAAGGTAGCTGGATGGAAATTTAAACCTTTTGATGTGTTCTAGAAACAAGAGACTTTAAAAGGACCTAAGCCCAAGGCAGTCATAATTTAACCCCCAGACATAAATGCCCAATCAGATGATTAAATAAGACCTCCAGGTTCTGCGTGAAGTCCTGTCCCTGGGAGGTTCACCCTTTAAAAAAAGCAAAGCTTTCAGAGTTACTGATATGTGCCATAGATTATCTGAAAAGATGATAGAGTGTAACTAAAAATTATAAGCCACAGCAGAAGAAAAAGCTTTAATACCTAAAAATAAAGGCTATTATAGTTCCATTATGATCAACTAATTCATTGATTCATTTCCTAATTCAACATGCTTTGGGAAAATGTTAGGTAACAAGGAAGCTTACGGAGAAACATGAAATGCTGCTTGTAATGAGATGATAGTGAACCAAAGTGCAGAACCCAGAGGCGTATGTGCCCCAGTGCTAACTGCCTGGGATGGGTGAGCAGGGCTTTAACCCTGAGACACCAGGTGGTGCCCCGACGGAGGCCCAGGCTCTGCCAGCCTCGCAGGGCACGTACTCTGGAAGGGTTTGCTGCCATCATTCTGGAGCACTTTTCTTGAATGAGGTTGATACATGAGTTGCAATTTAAAAATCATTAATGACATGCTTTAAAATTTTTAAATACATTTTTTAAAAGGTGCAGTTGAAACAAACATGTCAATCGGAGCAGACCTGATTTCACAGCCCACCTCCAAGGTCAAGTGCATGGGTGAGCAGTTCACCAGCAAGGCCTGCAGCGAAGTCCAGCATGTTCCCTGCAACTTTGCTGGGACCCAGAGACATGGGGACAAAGCTGCTGCCTTAACATAAGGTAGCAATGAGCCCTAGTGGGCTCCAGGGACCCCCTGAAACAACCTGCGGGCTGTGAGCTCATGGTCTTTGGCATGGGAACAATGCCTCGCAAAGCTGCTGTGGGACCAGCCTTTTCAATCGTGTCTGCGTAGGAAAAGGATGAGGCCACTGCACAGCAAAGGCCACTCCTCTTGGGACAATAAAAGTGTTTTCACACGAAAGCAGAGTGGCAGGAGCACAACTACAGCTTACGTGACCATGTTACAGTTCCCAAGGCATTTTCAACATCCTATTCAACTGGTCCTGCAGCCACTGTGTCGGGGAGAGATTATTATGATTATGTTGAGGTCTTCACGGCTAAGTGACCTGCCAGAGGCTGAGCCCCAAGTGGCAGGGCCTGGACTGGAACCCAGACTGGATACAGGCAGACGCTTCCTTTTGAGGCTTCAAGTTCTAGCACGCTTGCTATCTTGGACAAACTCCTGTCACCTTTGTTCTGGCCACGGATAACTTATCCTTTAAGGATAGTCTATGAACATAGAGTTCAACACTAAAAAAAAATTCCTTTTGAAAACAGAGGGATTTTACTTTAGCTGGGTAACAGAGTCAGTGACGTATAGTTTTACAGAGAAAAACTGCACAGACGAATAATGCAAATTGTACAGAGGAAGCAACAAGAAAATACCTGTATCTGCATATTCCTTCATTACGGAGTCACAGCTATAAAGTACTCTACAGACATGAGGCACAGAGAGAAGTATTCCTAGTCAGTCCTCCTGCAGACTCAGAGAATCCCTCTCCAACATTTCTGAGAGTAAATGTCTACCTTGAATGAAAAACCTCCAGTGCGGGAACTCAAGGTTTGGAGCCAGTGGGCCCCATAATTCTCTCCAGCTGTGTCCCTCCCTCACAGCCACACACCCACAAGAGCCCTGTGGTCTCTGGCTTGTCCACAACCCTCTTAAGCTGGGGTCACTAGGACTGCATCTAATGCTGCCAAAATGACCTGGCCCGAAACTAATAAGCTATTACAGCAAGGTTGCAGGATACAAAGTGAATACACAAGTCAATCACTTCCCTATATAAAAGCAGAGAACAAGTGAAATTTGTAGTTAAAAACACAATCCCATTTAGATTAGCACCCCCAAAATGAAATACTTAGGTAGGAATCTAATACAATATGTATAAGATCTATATGAGGAAAATTACAAAACTCCCACTAATAAAATCAAAGAAGTAAATAAACTAAGTATTCCACATTCACGAACAGGAAGACTCAATATATAATTACGATGTCAGTTCTTCCCAACTTGATCTGTAGATTCAATGAAATCTCAATCCAAATTCCAGCAACTTACTTTGTGGATATCAACAAACTAACTCGAAAGCTTATATGGAGAACAAAAGACCCAGGGCAGCCAACACGACACTGAAGCAGAAGAACCAAGTCAGAGGACTGACACTACTCGGCTTCAAGACTTACTATAAAGTGACAGTAATCAAGACGGTGTGGTGTTGGTGAAATAATAGGCAAATAGATGAATGGAACAGAATAGAAAGCCCAGAAATAGACCCATGTAAATAGTCAATGGATCTTTGACAAAGGGACAAAGGAGATACAGTATTTTGCAGAAACAGTCTTTTCCACAAATGGTGCTGGAACAACTGGACATCCACGTGTGAAAAAAAAACTAGACACGACCTTAAACCCGTCACAAAAATTAACTCAAAAGAGAATGGATATAAACGTGAAATGCAAAACTATAAAACTCTTAGGAAAAAATTTGGATGACCTTGGGTTTGGTGATAACTTTTTAGATACAATACAAAAGACATGGTCCATGAAAGGAAGTATTGATAAACTGGATTTCATTAAAATAAAAAATCTTTTGCTCTGAGAGACACTGTCAAGAGAATGAGAAGACAAGCCACATCCTGGGAGAAAGTACGTGCAAAAGACAAATCTCACACAGAACTGTTATCCAAAATATACAAAGACCTCTTAAAATTTAGCAAGAAGAAAACAAACTATCCTATTGAAAATGGACAAACAACCTTAACAGACACCTTGCCAAAGAAGAAATGCATACGGCAAACAAGCACACGAAAAGATGCTCCACGTCATATGTCATCAGGAAAATGCAAATTAAAACAACAAGATACCACTAAACACCTATTCTGAATGGCCAAAATCCAGAACACTGAAAGCACCAACTGCTGGTAGGATATGGGGAAGCAGGAAGTCTCATGCATCGCTGGTGGGAATGCAAAATGGTGCGGCCACTTTGGAAGACAGTCTGATGGTTTCTTACAAAATAAGCATACTCTTACCATGTGATCCAGCAATTGTGCTCCTTGGTATTTACCCAGAGGAACTGACAATTACGTCCGCCCTGAAACCTGCATGTGGATGTTTATAGCGGTTTTATTCATAATTACAAAATGTATAAACACTCGAGATGTCCTTCAGTGGGTGAACGGATAAACAAACTGTGGTACATCCAGACAATGGAATATTATTCAGCACTAAAAGGAAACAGCTCTCAGACCATAAAAAGACATGGAGGAATCTTCAAGGCATACTACTAAGTGAAAGAATCCAATCTGAAAAGGCTATGTATACTGTATGATTCTAATCATATAACGTTCTGGAAAAGCAAAACCACGGAGACAATAAAAGGATCAGTGGTTGCCAGGAGTTAGGGAGGAGGGATGAATAGGTGGAGCATGGAGGATTTTTAGGACATTGAAACTATTCTGTGTGATACTATAACGGTGGATACATGTCATCAAACGTTTGTCCAGACCCACAGACACTGAAACTATTCTGTGTGATACTATAACGGTGGATACATGTCATCAAACGTTTGTCCAGACCCACGGACACTGAAACTATTCTGTGTGATGCTATAACGGTGGATACATGTCATCAAACGTTTGTCCAGACCCGTGGAATATACACCAAGAGTGAACAGTAATGTAAACTATGGACTCCGGGTGACCATGATGTGTCCATGTAGGTTCATCAACTGTAGCAAATGTCCCACTGATGGGGGATGTAATGAGGGAGACTGCGCATGTGTAGGGGCAGGGCTATATGGGAACTCTCTGCACCTTCCTCTCAATTTTGCTGTGAGCCTAAAACTGCACTAAAAACTAAAGTCTAGTAATAAGAAAAGTGCCCCGGGGAGCTCGCTGTCTGGGGATCTGTGTCACCCTGGGTCAAACTGCAGACTCATTGATCTCTTTAACATTTCCAGCTGGAGGGGCAGGTCGCCCACATTCTCCCAAATGAAACACAGGCTGTGACATTTACTCCACTGAATTTGGTCATCTTTGGCCTGCGGAGTCCTGGCCCTGCTGCAAGGACACTTGCGAAGCCCCACCCAGCCCAGCCCTGTGGCAGTTTCTACAGAAGGAAACCTCCTCTGACACAGTAAGGAAAGGAACCCAGACCGAGGTAAGAAAAGAAGCTGTGTCACTGAGCCCATCTCTGCCCAGGAACCTGGAGGAACGGAAAACGCAGCGGGGACTGACCTGCCCCCTGCTTCAGCAGCTCGGCTGCAGAGTTGGCGGCCGTTTGCGGAGAACTTTCGGCTCTTTCCTCCAACGGGTCTGCAGGAAGGAGCGAGAAAACGCAGAAGTGAGTCCACCTCCCAGGCAAAGAATGACCATGACAATGTGGATGCTCACGACTGAGGCCTGGACGGTGATGCACATGCTCTGCAGAGCTGGGCCTTCCTCCTGCAGACAAGAGGCCAGCGCAGAGAACCATCGCCAAGTTCCAAGCAAAAGCTGGGATGGCACAGCCCAGCAAAATAGCTTTCTCACCTCCGAATTAATTTATATGAACAATTACATTTTAAGAGGTAAGTCAGGGCTTCCCTGGTGGCTCAGTAGTTGAGAGTCCGCCTGCCGATGCAGGGGACGCGGGTTCAAGCCCTGGTCTGGGAAGATCCCGCATGCCGCGGAGCGACTAGGCCCGTGCGCCACAACTACTGAGCCTGCGCTCTAGAGCCCGTGAGCCACAACTACTGAGCCTGCGCGTCTGGAGCCTGTGCTCTGCAACAAGAGAGGCCATGATAGTGAGAGGCCCGGGCACCGCGATGAAGAGTGGTCCCCGCTCGCCACAACTAGAGAAAGCCCTTGTACAGAAACGAAGACCCAACACGGCCATAAATAAATAAATAAATAAATAAACAATAAAAATAAAGGAATTCCCTTTAAAAAAAAAAAAGGTGAGTCACATTTGCCTGTATTTTAAATTAATCATGTTTCTGGAATATAATACAATTATGTGAACTTAAGATTGTCTAGGAAAGTGGGGATATGCCTGATCGCCTGCTGTGGGTGCTATTTTTAAAAATCTTTTCACCGTGAATATTTTGAAACAAACACAAAGGTAAAGACAATAGTTTATCCAGCACCTGACGTCAACAATATCGATATTTTGCTGATTTTGTAGAATTATAAAATTTAAATGTAAATGACCTGCAAGGTCTCTGAGTCCAGGCATTTTATAACTTTGAGCTACAGAATCTTGGCTCCAAGGAAACTTTTCACAAAGCCATGACATAAAGACATGACCGGAGGCTGCAGGGCCAGCTGGCCACCTCTTCTTACCTGACCTGGGTGAACTATTCAGGGTTTACCCATAGAGTACGTGATGGCAAGGAAGTTCTGGTCTGATTTTTCTCAAGGAATCTCTTTGGATCCCAACACCCTGCGGGTGACCCCACACAGAGCCAGAGCAGCCCTCAGGCCCCGGCAGCGTACCTCTATCCGGAATGAGCAGTTTGCAGGGCAAAGCCAAGGGCGTGATGGAATGCTGACACACCAAAGCCGTCAGGCTCCCTGTGAAGAGATGAACAGCAAACAGGCGTTAGCACTGCCCTAAATACTGTGCTGCTCAGCCAATTTATCTCCTGAAAGGAGGCTGCTGCAAAGGGTGACCCCTTATAGTTTTAGCACCCAACGTGCTCCATTATTGTGGGAATTTGTGCAAAACTTCAACGAAGCCATAAGTTCAGCAGACGGCAAAGGGGCAGATAAAGGGAACTGCAGATGATTCTCAGCAAAGACACTTCATTACCAATTCACAACAAACAAGTCACACAGTCTGCTGAATCTGAGACAGCTCTCACCGGTACCACCGAATCATCTCTGTAAGGTGATGCTTTGGTTCGCTCAAGCTCTGCCTGTGAGCTCATGCCGTCTTTTGGACATGCCTGCAGGGGCGGGAAGGCTCTCATCTTACAGGGAGCCTGTGCTTCTCTTGTGCCCAGAGGGTGAGGTTACACTCAGGCCCCAACCTTGTCCACCCTTCTCTGCCCGCCTGCCTGGACCGTACCTTGTGGAATCTGCATTTCCAGTCCCAGCACCGTGTATTTTATTTGCTTAGTTTTGAGAAAGCTTTTAAGAAAATTTAATATCCAGTTTATTTTAGAGATGATAACTGAGGAATCTCTGAATGGGGATGAAAAGTAAATGCTCTGCGTGAAGCCCCAGCGGAGCGATGGCAGTGAGCAGAGGCAACGCGTGCTCGTGGGTTCAGAACACCAAGTCAGGCTCTCAAGCCACTTACCAAAATACGGTTCATTGGAGCACCCTTTCAACCGCACTCCTTTTGGGGTGCACTCGATCAAAAAATGCCGAACGAGTTCATTGGCCAAATCTCCAGCTGTGGTAGAGGTTTAAAAGAAAGAGAAGCGAGTTTTAAAACATGAGAGCAGGGGAGGATGAGAGAGAAGGAAGGAGAGTCTGGCCCCCGCAGTAGGTTGGCTGCCAAGAACCACTCTAGGAATGGTAGCTGGGCTGCAGGAAGGCTGGCTGAGCACTGCCCGATGGGCAGCCAGAACCCCCTCCAGTGACTGTGCTTACAGGTGGAGGAGTCCTTAGGAGACGGCCTCAAACACTGCAGAATTCCCAGTGACGGCAATGAGCAGCTAAGAACTGGGAACATGGACCTCCAGCTCCTTTGCCTCCTAAGAGGAGAACTTAGAAAGACACAGACACAGCATGATGCCCAAGAATGAATCACTGGAAAGAGCTGGAAGGGTGCGTCTTCCGGGTAAGATTTAGCCAGGAGTCAGGTACACAAACCCCTCCTGACAGCAAGCCCTCTAATCATATTGCTGCTACACGGACCTGTGTTCATGCCAGCCCACGAGCCCAAAGAGAAAGTGCATCATGAAAAGCCACAGAATGGCAAAATGTCTGATGGTGGAAACGTACTGCACTATGCTAATGAGTCCCGCAGACATTCACATTCACACTGCGCAGTGTTTCCGTCCTGCCTCATTCAGCACCCTCCCTGGGAACGTGTTTCCATGGGAACGTGTCTCCATGGGAACGTGTCTCCATGGGAACGTGTCCCCATGGGAACATGTCTGCCTGCCGTAACTTCTAACATTTCTGATGGCAAGACCTGCTAGAGGTGGGTTTGGGCTCCACACCTGGTCCATGGCAGGCTCCCCAGTGATGCTTATTTTAAACGACAGTGACAAATATCAACAACATCGGTGTCAGCATTTCACAGGCGCAGTATAGCCGGTAGGAAAGGAAATGATCAGATTCCATAAAAGGCAGTACTGAGTAAAAATGAGGACAAGAACATTTTGCCATTCAGTTGTGGGAGGAAAATGATCCACGGCTTCCAAACTGAAGGCAGACACAGAGTGTGGTCTGGATGCCAGTGGTGAGAAGTGAGTCAGCGGGGAACCCAGCTGCATGGTGATTCGGAGACCAGCACCCCACACATCTGTTGCTGTCCCGTCTCCGGGGTGCCAGGGGTGGGTGGTGACTTGCTGGGCTTTTTCCTGGTCAACTGTCCTCTCAGATCTATCCTTAGACTGTGAAATCCAAATGCCAAATCCAGGGGTCGGGTGAAGGCAAGGCAACCAGACAAAATTTCACCCAGAGGATGCACCTGGCAGTGTTGCATGTCCTGAACTCTGCTATTCTAATATCCTCTATTTTGTTGCCTTTGCCCGAAGATTGAGACAAAGTGGGCCTTAGAGGGGGGATGCATGCCTGGAGGTAAGAATTATACACCACCATCTGTATTTCCAAAAAGATAACGCATGCAGTAAAAAAATAAATAAATAAATAAAGTTTTAAAAGCTTCAGCTGAAACCGAGGAGCCTGGGAGCTGCCATGCACTCACCTCTGCTCCCTCGTCACCCATCCCTGTCTCCACAGACCCTCAGAGGTTCCAGTGCTGAGTCTTTTCTGATATAACCATCACTCAGCATGTTTCCAAATACTGCCAAATGCCTTACATCCTCCACAATCAGGGCCGAGTCAGCTCCTGAGCTACAAAAGCCTCTATTTAAACCACTCGAAAGCCAGTGGAGTGTTTGGTGGAGCTTCTCATGCAGGAATTCTGGATGCCCTGGGGCCCTACTTCCGAGGCTCCCCTGTTCTGCCTGATCTGCACAGAGCCTTCTCCCCCTTCACTTCCAGACATGACAATAGCCACAGATCTGGCCTCTGAATCACCTGCTCCTCTCAGCCTCACCCCCCCGCCGCCTTCTATTCACACAACCACTACTTTTGCCCAAACCGACCATCTAAGTTTCCTAAAAACCCCTTGGCCATCCATGCCTGACGCCGGACCCCTTGGAAACCAAATCTCATTCTTCAAGGTGTAACTCACTCCAAGGCAATTTTCTCCAGGAAGTTTTAAGCAGAGATTTCACCCCAGGATTTGGTACTGGGCACAGAGCGTGAGTGAAGCAGGTTAAGTGTCATTTTGTTTAAACACCAAAGGTTCAGAATCTGTGCTTATTCTGATCTACCCTCGCTCCACCCAGGTGAGCCCAGGGGCCCTAGGAAGAGCCATGTAACTTGCTGACATCCGGTACACAATCTCCATTTAGGGGAAAAGAACCTTTTCCCTTTCCTTAGAGTTTGTGGCATAGTTGGTTAAAAAAAAAAAAAGGGCAAGGAGGGCAGGGTGTGATAAAAAGAAAAAAAAAGAATAAACCAGAAACCACATATTAGGGGACAGAGAAAGGGAATAAGTGTATTGATTTGTTGGGAACCGAGCTCATCCCTGAAGGAGAGGCGAGAAAGGATCTGGTGATACTGTATTTGAACGGGTGGTATCAACGTGAGCTCAGGAATTTTTTAAAATGATACATTCCCTAGCTCAGGTCCTAGAGAGAAGGAGTGGTACTCTGATAGCAAAGAGCAAACCTAGCGATTAGATCTTGGTTTCTAGATACCGTTCCCCAATAAAAAGAACCAAGGATCTTTAGACAAATGGCTGGGGCAGGGAAAGTACACGGTAAGCCTAAAACACGTCTGCTGTTTCAGAAAGCTGGCGTGCTCACGGACTAATGGGGGGTATGTCAGAAGGACAAGGGGCCGCTGGAAGGGCCTCAGCTATAGTCAAATGCAGGATCCTTGGAAACCAAAAAGTCACGGTGGCGATGGATTACAACACACAGGAAAGGGCATGTAGGGGCTTCCCCACAAAGTTGTGGCCTATGTTTGGGTACATGCATGTCTGCTTCATAATAATGCTTACCTATGCATGCAGGCAGTGCAAACTCAGAATTCTATACATGGTTATGTTCGTGACAAAAAACATTTAAAAGGTAAGAAAAAGCCTTGCCTGTATTACATGTTATTCGGCTAGTATCTGCCACTTGTGCAGAGCGTTGCACCAGAGTGGAAGAAGGCTTTGTCCTTTCCCCTAAGGAAGGATAATCTCATGACTCCAGGCTTGCACTGGCCTCACTTTCAATCCATCAAAATACTCTACTGGGTGTAGGAACAAGAACCGTGTATATAGTATGCCACGTTCTATGTAAGAGAAAAGGAAAAATGCATGTGTGTGTGCATTGGACAGATAGTGAGACGACACACAGGAATTTATTAGAGATGTCTACCCACAGGAAGCAGGAGGGAACTGAGGCATACAGGGCTGAAAATGGGAGCAAAGATGCCTTATCAGAGGACTTGCTCCATTGTTCTGACATCTGATCGCCCATCAAAGCAATAAAAAAAAATGTACAAATAATTAACCTTCCTTCTTGAGCCAAGACAGTACTTACCAAAATGCACCCGAAAAAATAAATAATAAGAAGAAAACCTATGCGTCATCTCATGGGCACAAAGGTAACTGACAGGCGAGGTGCCGCTGAGAAGAGCCGGCGGGACCCACCTTTCTTGTTCAGCTGCAAGACGGAGGGCGGGGGCGTGGCCACCTTCATGGCCAGGCCATAGGCGCCTCGGAAGGAGTGGCTGTCCCTGACGATAAATGAGCCGGGTTCCTTGTCCTTCAGCATAGCGATGGCTGCAGAGGGGAACAGAGAGATGTGAGTGTCTGCCGGGGGAGGCCACGGCCTGTCTCCACTCGGGGCCGTGACAAGGATGAGGGAAGCCTCTGTGATGACCCGAGGTTTCCTGGGGGCCTGACTGTAAAGGACACAGGGGCACAGGGTGGCCCGTCCCTTTAGATCACAAAGGTGCTGCCTTCACACAGGACTCCTGTTAACCCCGCAGCATCTGTGAAGGCCAAATGAGGACCCCCCCCCACACACACCTGACAGCCCAGGAAAGCGAGCCTCACTGGCACAAGTGCCCAGACCAGGTCCCAGTACACACAGTGTGACACAGCAGGAAGTCAGGCGGGGCTACCACGCATTCCCCGCCGTGGCCCTGCCCTACGTCTCCCTGCGTGGCATTTTTCTTAGATTTTAGAAAGTGCGCTTTCAACTTTCAATAGAAGGAAAGAAATTTCCAATCCCACTTTCTGAAGTCTGTGAGAGTGTACCCCAAAAGTTACTAAATATCTAATACGAATTCCAAGATTTGCCCCAGGGGGATCGTAGGTGGCCCTCCGTCCCGTGGCTCTGATGTGGCAGTTGTGGCAGTTATGGCCAATTGTTTCCAGCCTGGACGAGGCTGTGAACCCATATTCGATGCGGCCGTCACCAGTCAGTCAGGGCCACGAGCTGCACCTGGCCCTGCACCTTCCACCTGCCCCTGGTGAGGCTGGGAGGCATGTCACACTGATTGTCACCTATAAAGAACATCCCTCCCCTTCAAGCTCAAAGTCTGGCTCCCCCAGGTCCCATGCTCAGGATATGGGAAAAAAGCGGGATGGATGGATGGGTTAGGGTGACAGTAACCTCAACGTGACGCAGCCCAGACACTGGCGAGAGTTTTCTCTAGTAACCAGAACATCTCTCAGAATGTCTCTTATAAACTTTACATTTTACAAAAAGAAAACTAGGGATTTAAAATATAAGGCACTAGAAAATTACAGCCATGGAAATGCCGCCTTTCTGTAGCGCCTGAGGCCCTGTCTGGAGTAGATGGGGGGCCCGGACATAAACCCAGGAGTGGCAGGAAGCCCCGTCACGCCTCAGGAAATAACCCCAGGAAGCCCTCTGTCCCAGGCCCCCGTGCATCCCGACTCCAGCCCCAATCCCCCGGCATGGCATTTGCTTGGCTGCAGGATGAAACAATTGGTTTCTTGTACACACTCTTCCATGGCAATGCCCCAGCCCCTGCAGCAGGACAAAGCCATAAGGCAGGAGCTTGTACACTGACACACATAGGGGACGAGGAACAGGAAAGCACAGCGCTCTCCAAGGGGAACGGGTTTGGTGTGACCCTGGGGGGTGCAAGCCTGACACAGTGGAGTGAAAGCCCACCTGCTGCTCCAGCAACTCAAGGCTGGGGAGGGGAGCGTGGGTGGACACCACGGGGGACCCCAGGCCTTCGCAGCTGGTTTTGTCTCATAGCATGTTTTCTACATATGGGGGCTGAAGACCTATTATGTTTTTAAAGTAGGGGAAAGATCACTTACAGAAGTTATAGCTTTCAATTGTGATAACCTCACCAGAGCGTTTTCTTTGTAAGTCATGATTTTACTTCACTGTGGTGGAAAAAAGCGCCCCAGCCTCATGGGAGGCCGACTTCTGGGCAGCAGAAAGAAGGCCAGCTCTGCTCCGGCCCGTCCTCCCCTCCCAGACCCCATCCCTGAAGCCAGGCCAGCTGGACACAAGGGAGCCGGGGTCTCACGCGCCCGCAGAGGGAACCTGAGAGCGATGCTGGGCTCATTGTTTCTGGAACAGAAATGAGCCCGCATTGAGGGTGTGAGAAGGAGCTCGTGCACACCCACGGGATCGTCATCACCTCTCTCCCTGCAGCTGGTGTTTTCAAGGATTCGAGGGCAGAGGCCTGAGAGCACGGCTGGAACAACCATACTTAATTTCTACTTTACTTTCCTCCTACGGTTTTTATGTTCACCTTTAAAAAGTCCCAAGGTACTAATCTTGCCATAGTAATATGTGAACAATTGTGTCCCTAAACAGGCTACAGGGCTTTTTTTTCCCCTCCTGAATCTCCCTGAAATTTCATTACAGTTTTTCCAGAAAAAGGCACATCCCAGCAGTTACAACAAAACCCACGGATGGCTTTCTTCCATCTGGAGAAGTTGGCACACCCAACAGAACATTCATCTGTGTAGGTGTTGTCTACACAAAATATCTAGAAAATAGAGGAAGTTATGCTTTTGGAGTTCAACTGGAAAAATCGATGCCCAATGCACATATTAGCTATTTTGAGATGGAGTCCACCCCAAAGAAATATTTTTTTTTTCGGCTAGGATGAAACAATTGGTTTCTTGTACACACTCTTCCATGGCAATGCCCCAGCCCCTGCAGCAGGACAAAGCCATAAGGCAGGAGCTTGTACACTGACACACATAGGGGACGAGGAACAGGAAAGCACAGCGCTCTCCAAGGGGAACGGGTTTGGTGTGACCCTGGGGGGTGCAAGCCTGACACAGTGGAGTGAAAGCCCACCTGCTGCTCCAGCAACTCAAGGCTGGGGAGGGGAGCGTGGGTGGACACCACGGGGGACCCCAGGCCTTCGCAGCTGGTTTTGTCTCATAGCATGTTTTCTACATATGGGGGCTGAAGACCTATTATGTTTTTAAAGTAGGGGAAAGATCACTTACAGAAGTTATAGCTTTCAATTGTGATAACCTCACCAGAGCGTTTTCTTTGTAAGTCATGATTTTACTTCACTGTGGTGGAAAAAAGCGCCCCAGCCTCATGGGAGGCCGACTTCTGGGCAGCAGAAAGAAGGCCAGCTCTGCTCCGGCCCGTCCTCCCCTCCCAGACCCCATCCCTGAAGCCAGGCCAGCTGGACACAAGGGAGCCGGGGTCTCACGCGCCCGCAGAGGGAACCTGAGAGCGATGCTGGGCTCATTGTTTCTGGAACAGAAATGAGCCCGCATTGAGGGTGTGAGAAGGAGCTCGTGCACACCCACGGGATCGTCATCACCTCTCTCCCTGCAGCTGGTGTTTTCAAGGATTCGAGGGCAGAGGCCTGAGAGCACGGCTGGAACAACCATACTTAATTTCTACTTTACTTTCCTCCTACGGTTTTTATGTTCACCTTTAAAAAGTCCCAAGGTACTAATCTTGCCATAGTAATATGTGAACAATTGTGTCCCTAAACAGGCTACAGGGCTTTTTTTTCCCCTCCTGAATCTCCCTGAAATTTCATTACAGTTTTTCCAGAAAAAGGCACATCCCAGCAGTTACAACAAAACCCACGGATGGCTTTCTTCCATCTGGAGAAGTTGGCACACCCAACAGAACATTCATCTGTGTAGGTGTTGTCTACACAAAATATCTAGAAAATAGAGGAAGTTATGCTTTTGGAGTTCAACTGGAAAAATCGATGCCCAATGCACATATTAGCTATTTTGAGATGGAGTCCACCCCAAAGAAATATTTTTTTTTTCGGCTGTACGCGGGCCTCTCACTGCTGTGGCCTCTCCTATTGCGGAGCACAGGCTCCGGACGCGCAGGCTCAGCGGCCATGGCTCATGGGCCCAGTCGTTCCGCGGCATGTGGGATCTTCCCGGACCGGGGCACGAGCCCGTGTCCCCTGCATCAGCAGGCGGACTCTCAACCACTGTGCCACCAGGGAAGCCCCCCAAAGAACTATTTTTAAATGTGTGGCTAAGATTAGGCAAATGACAACAGTAATTGCTACCGCCCAGCAGGTGCCACCAAGGGAGGTCCCCTCCACCCAGATCCTTTCCCCTAAACCCCACGCGGAAGGCTTTCCCATCGCCATTCCGTAGGACCCGCCTAGTGCTCTCCAGCCAAGCCTGCCTCTTCCGGAGCCGGAGCCTGGCTGTTCAGTCAGAGAAGGGGGCAGCCCAGCCCAGCCTTCACCCTGGTCTGAAAGGCTGAGCTGCCAGAGTAGGAGGGTCTGCTCAGAACAGCCTAGGGCAGGGTCCCCAACAAGCACTTCTCAGGGTCTGTCGGGCTGGATGAGACAGCTGCAGCTAAGGGCCACAGTCCTGGGGGTTCTTGTGACCAGAGCAGGGAGGGGACGAGGACAGAGCATCTGGCCACAACAGAGCCTGGAACGTGGGGAGTGCATGGCACAAAGGCCAATTCAGGGACTCAGAAACCTCTCCAGGCCAAGCGAGCTCCCCTCATAGGAAATGACAATAGGTCCATTGAGCTCATGGGAAGAAAGGCACATTCTTACCATTTTTATTATCTGCCTAATTGAGTAGAAGAATTTCAGTGACAACGTTGGACAGTGCTGTTTTCCAGCCATTTAACTGTTCACATCCAGGCACTTTTGAGAAACACTCCCCCGGAGAGCAGTTGTGATTTCTTCCCCACTTGCTGAGAGCAGCCCCTGGGGTATCTCCTTTCTGGGCATCCTGGCCAGCATCTGCCAGCCCCAGCCAGTTCCACGTCATCCTCTCTCGGAGGGACGGCCGGGAGTGATGAGCCCACCCACAGGCGGCCGTGTCGTCACCCCCAGGGAGGATGGTGGCTCCCGTGAGCAGGGCCAGCACGTCGCAGGGATCCCACGAATTCTGCTGGAGTGAGTGCTGTTCGCCCGAAAGGCTGTCCCAGAGGGACCACCACAGACGGCATGCCAGCGTCCCTCTGGGACACCTCTTCTATTCGTGTTCTAGTAAAAAGCGACACGCGACTGCACTGCTCAAAAATATTAACCATTTCTCATTTTTGCCAGCTGTCTTCCGACTGTACCGCGCACCCAGAGTTGTTGTGCTGTGTGTGACATGCTGGGCTGAGTCCGCCAGCAGCTTGTCTTTCCAGTGTGACACAGGCAGGTGTGCCCATGAACGGTGTTAGAAAGACACCTCTCCTTCCCCCACCGGCTGGGGCCCATGACGTCTTCTCATCATGTCATCACTGGCAACGCTAGCCAAACCTTGTCTGGTGGAAGCCACCAGAAATTACACCCCACACACTAGAACGATCGTGGCCGGTGCCCATCCCGGCCGGCTCCCTCATTAGGACTGAGCTTTTCCAAGAAAAACGTAAAGGTCGTAGCCTTTCTCTCAAGGCGAGTCACAAGTGACTTCCTCCAGCTCATCCATCCAACCCTGATGCTCCCACCCCCGCGGTCCTGCTTCCCGGATGCAGAGCCCTTGTCCCGCCCACGCACCTTGCTCTCTGGAGATATCTGCCTTGTACCAGAACTTGGATGTATCTTGGACAAAGTTCACGGACACGTGCTTATCACCTGGATTATCTGCAAAACAGAATTCAAAAACAATAACTGTGAAGGGCGTTTTTCATTGCAACTCTCACCTCAAAGGGACCTAGAAATTCAAAGTCCCACCCTGGGTGAGGACGGGGTGCTCTGGGGAGAGCGCTCTCTTTAACTACAGGGGAGAAGCCTGACTCGGAGCAGGGAGTGGCTGTTTCATAACAGAAAACACAAAGACAGCAGGACACTGCGATCAGGCCTCTGCAACACATTTCAACAACACGTAGTTAGAGAGACAGGAAGTGCACAGAGCAGAGCTGGTGTTGCTTTACTCCTGTCAGTGTCTTATTATACCTTTTACATTTGAAACATTTCATAATTAAATTTCAAAGTATTTTTTTAATGTTTTTCTTTTACAGTTACTTTCACAGAACCCTGATTCCAAGTCAAAGGGGAAAAACACAGAACCACCACAGATGTCTGCATTTTCTGCTGTTGGAATGAATCTAACGCGAATAAACGCACAAGCCGGATGAACTGCGAGGTGCCTCTGCATCGATATTGTGCTTCGGGCTAGTGAGATGGAAACGACCCCTTGAAGGCTCTGGATTCTTCTCTCAAGCCGCTCAGCCCAGTCCTAGCACTGGTGCTCACTGGGCAGACCCAGCTGTAACCCCAGGGTCTGTCCCTGCCCAAGTGCACCTGTGAGCACAGGGGTGGGCCCCCTACCCGTGGAGACACGCCTACCTGGGGAAGGTGCAGCTCCCTCCGCAGCCTTGGGAAAGTCCGGGAGGATGTTTGGGAAAGGGATGCTCATGGTGCTGCCGCTGTGAGGGCTGGAGAAGCCGCTTGAGGATGGAGACACCGAGCCGAAAGAACGGTCCCCCTCCGAGGCCCGCTTCTTTTCGGGAAGGGGCGGCTGCCCGGGCAGGGTCAGCCCCGGGCCCTGCAGGCCGGGGCTGTGGTGGCTGCTCTGTCCAGGTGCCACCGTGAGAAAGCTGTGGGACAGGAAGCCGTTGTCGGCAGCCTCAGCTGCTGTCCGCGGGGTGCCGGGGGCCTGGGACGCTCCGTGGGAATTGGCCAGCAAGGCCCCCGGGTCCTCGCCGGGGGGGAGCCCACCTCCTTCAGGGGCAGGGCCGAAGCTCAGGAAGGCCTGGCTGCCTGGGGGGCCCAGAGCTTCCGGCGGCTCTGCCAGGGACAGCTCGTGGCCGTGGAAGGACGTCTGGAGCTCAGCTGGCGGGAAGTGGGGCCGCCCAGGGCCGTCCTTGCTGGGCCGGCTGCTCCCCAGCAGGGTCAGCGTGGACCTGGGGCTGGTGTCCACCCACTGGTGCTCGGCCGAGGAAGGGCTGTTCAAAAGACAAACCGTCAGGGGACAACACGTCCAGGGAGATGCCTGAAAATTAGCAACGGTTCCCACATGGCGGGGGTGGGGAGGCTGGATGCCGAGGCTCCCCCTGCAGCAGTGCGAGGCTCCCCGAGCATCTGAACTCAGGCCCTGCCCTTCCAGCCTCCCCCCTTACTATTGACCCCAGATGCTCAGTCTACAGCCTCAGGGACGCGGTGGGGGGTTGGGGGCCGACCCTGCCTCCCCAGCCTGTGTGCCTCTTCCTTCCTCGCTGTTCACCTGGCAAAGTTCCCTGTTCTCCTCAGTTCAAGACGTAGCTCAACTGTGTCCTGACTTTGAAGCCCGTGTCCACATGTGCACAGGGATTAGCTGTGTCCTCCCTCTGGTCCCACCACGCATGCACCAACCATGGGATCTGCTTAAACCTCCCTCCCCCAACTCTCTTTTTTTCTTCCCGATGCCCAACACAGGTGCCTGACACAGTCAGTTTTCATAAGTGCTTGCAGGACAACCAGCTGATAAAGGATACACAGGAGATTGCCATATCGAAAATGGGAAATTCCGATATTAAGAATATTGGAAATTACTCTATATTTCGAAATATAGAAAGACAGCTAACACGCTAGCAAACATGTATTTGCTCTGTGTGTGATGTCGAGTCCCGATATGCAATGTCCCCCTTTTTTGTAAAGAGAAAGGAGGTGGAATTAAGGGTGGTAAATAACTGTAGAGCAATGTGCCCACAAGTAAAATACTAAGAAATGATTCCTACCCTGAGCATCTGAATTTGCTCAGTGACAGTCCTTTGTGAAGGAGAAATAGGACATTTCTCTCTGGCTGTCCGTGGCCCATCCTTTCTGTTCTCCAATCCCACTGAGGGGTGCTCCTGCACCCCCCCATTCTTTCCCGAACACCTGCACAAATTCCATGTCTCCGAGAGCAGCATGTCCTGCCTGCCCTGTCCACCCCAATCTGCAGCCCCGGGCAGGCCCCCTCCTAGCCTGGCCACTGCACCCCCTTTCCAGCCTCAGCTCAGATAACGTTTTCACGGATGCTCGGTCCTGAGCTGGCCACTGTGCCCCGACTCTAAGTGCGGTGTGTTCCTTGAGCACTCCGCCTGCCAACAGTGAGGGTGGACTCAGGAGTTTTTATTTTGACTGCATTTTTGAAGAGTGATGGTGGTCAATCCACAAGGCAGCCCGGTGTCATGTGGAGGACAAGCCCCCGCCTTCCCTCCGTGGTGCTTGGGTTTGGGGTCTGTAAGAACAGCCTGTGTTTGGTTCAAAGGCCACCTTACCTCCCCCTCCGCTGGCTGGGGCTGCGGCCAGAAATCGTGCAGGAGGATGTGAACGCCCGCTGGAAGGAGGGCGCCGTGGGCATGTCGGCCCGGAGCGTCGCAGGTTTGGGTCCAACGGGGCTCTCTGACATCCCCACAGAGTGACCGAGAACCTCAGGGCAGCCTCGTGGTTCTGGATCAAGGAAACACGAGCAGGCTGTAAGAAGCAGTGCCACTTCCGAAGCTTTCTGCAGCAGGAGAACGGGCCCCGACTCCGCCAAGTGCAGCGTCCTCGTGCCTGGCACATTTCCAAAAGGAGAAACACCTGACCAGTCCCTGCGCGCAGCTTTCAACACGTACTGATAATCACCCTCCACTGACGACGTTCGTTTACAATGAGACGGGAGGGAGCCCAGTGTCTCACCCGAGGAACAGTCTGCCCTGATATACTTACCGTGCTGATGAGGTAAGCCACTTCCCACCCTAGAAAGGGCAAGGCCTCTGTGCAAACCACAGAAAAGACCTGCTTTTTATAAAGTGCCCGCGCAGCGGCACTTTGTGCCCCAGGTTGGGTCGCATGCTTTCGGCTAACGCTTCCCTCCGGCAGCACGGCCCTGCCTGCGGTGTCTTCACCCCCAAGAGGTGCAGAGACCACTTGGCCTGACCCCGGTCACAGGAGGAAGAGAAGCTGAGCACCAGGAAAGCCTGCCTGTCTGACACCCACACACCGCAGGGAACTTCACACGATCCGCTGACCAGATGTCCGTCCCGCTCGCAGCCTAGCATCTCCACTATTTCTGGGTATTTTTTTTTCTAATATTTTGCCTTTTTTTAAAAACTAAGCTTTGAGAACTGGACAAATCTACCATGGTCAATAAAATAATACTGTGAGAAATACAGGTTATTTTGCTTTCTGTCTTAAAACAAGGGAGGACTGATCAGAAAATAATAAAGTTGAAAAAATTTCACATCACTCACGTTACTCAGTTCCATCTATCATCGATCGATCCATCCACCCACCCATCTATCCATCCGTTTACCCATCCATTTATCCAACCATCTGTCACCTATCCATCCCTCTATCTATCTGACGTCTATGCATCTATCAATCTACCTATAATTTTATGGACATAATATCAAATATTTAATTAAAAAAACTGATCAGGCATTCCAGGTAACAAAACAAAAACATGAAAATGAAAACAAAAAAATGAAAAAGAAAAAAAGAAAGAAAAGAAAAAACACCCACAGCTAATACAAACATTGGAGTTAAAAAATACAGACTTCAAAATAACTAAACTGAAAATGTTTCAGAAACAGGCTCCGTGCTCATAGGGCAGGAGAAGCCCCCAATGTTCACTGCTGGCCCCTCCACTGAGCTGGCAGCTGGTGGGAGCTTCAGGTCAGTCATGCTATGAATTAATGAGTGAGTTAACAAAGGCACCGACGGAAAAGTACAGGGCAGCGCAAAGTGTGGAAATGTGGTTCAGGAGGCTGGCCCGAAAAGTGGGAGGAGGATAGAGACGCCAAGCAGCCCCTACGACCCCACGTCAAGGAGCAGCACAGAAACATGGGATCAGAAAAACAATTTACCCATCAAGTCTAGCGCACCCGCCTTCGGGCTGTTTGAGCGTGGCACGGGCGCACCTGAGAGCACGTGGCACGGGCGTGCACACAGCAGCTCCTCGCAGGATCAGCTCCTCCAGTACTGAGGTGGCTCTCAGTGGTCCCCGTGCAGTGATGGGAGCCGTACGCTGGCCGAGTTCCAGGGCCGCGGCCACCTCAGGAATCCCACACCACACTCCCACGGAGCCCAAGAGCCCCAGCCAAAGAGGAGAAGCCGAGGGGTAATAAGATCCCACTTTGTGCTGTTATCATGCTGCCTGTTCCAGAAAACAACCAGCACAGTGCTTCCCATGAAAGTGGCTTTGTTCCTAACTCAGTTAGAGCCAACTCTGGGACACGTGGCTGGCTTCTGTTCCCTCTGGTCAGATCGGCCTCTGCCCCCTGCCCGGGCAACAAGATTTAACCCCTAAGGGGGCGGCCAAGCACCTCAGAGTGGAGGCCCCGGCTTCCTGGCCCCTCCACGTGCTCAGAGATGCTAACAGCAGGGGGAGTGGGAACTTCGTGGGAGGTAAGGGTACACCCTTCACTCTCCAAGTGATGGGGCGCTGGCCACCGGCCCTGCTGGGAATCCAGAGACATAAGAACGGGAGACCCACGTGGCTGGAGAACGACCTTGAAATCGGGCTCCAAGCCCAGGCAGAGGCACCAGCTGCGTGAGTCGAGCCTGCAGGCCCTTCTGCGTGGATTCACTTCATTTCTCGAAGCGCACGTGCCCGAGAGCAGTTATTTTAAAATGTATTTATTAATTTACTTATTTTGGGCTGTGTTGGATCTTCGTTTCTGTGCGAGGGCTTTCTCTAGTTGTGGCAAGCGGGGGCCACTCTTCATCGCGGTGCGCAGGCCTCTTACTATTGGGGCCTCTCTTGTTGCGGAGCACAGGCTCCAGACGCGCAGGCTCAGTAGTTGTGGCTCACGGCCCAGTTGCTCCGCGACATGTGGAGTCTTCCCAGACTGGGGCACGAACCCGTGTCCCCTGCGTTGGCAGGCAGATTCTCAACCACTGCGCCACCAGGGAAGCCCCACCTGGTTGGTTTTTGTTCAACTTGCACATTTGCTGTTCACGGTTGAATGATAGGTGAAATTCCCAGAAGGACGACTGTACGTGGGCCCCGTTGCCGGGTGGAGGTGGGGATCGGGCCTCCGTCTTCTCAGCTCTGGACCCAGAAGGAGGCTCAGGGGTGCGGTGACGGCCACGGGAGCAGAGGAGAGTTCCGACATGAGGGAGGTCCTGCAGGCGACAAGCGTGCAGGCGTCGGTCCCGGCTGCCCTCCTCCCGAGCCTGCGGCTGGCAGGCTTTCCTTGGCTCCGGATGCCACAGAGAGCGTGTCTGTCTGTCCTAAACCAACCACATGAGGGGCTCCAGGGTAGTCAGACTTCTGGGGCCACAGCCCCCATTAGGGTGTGTCCACAGAGTCAGGGGACTAGGGACCACACGGACCCTGCTGTACACCCCGTGCACGTCAGAGCTCTGGTGCCCCACCCGATCTGGGCTCTTTTGGGTCCCTGGCATCATCCTGGCAAAGTGGCAAGTCTGTTCCTCCTCTCGCCACATTCTCACATTTT